TAAACCACCAGAAAACCGGAAGTGGCGCTGTAGAGCGCTCGCCTTGAGCTGAAGAGCTGAGGGACAGCGCCCAGGCCCAGAGTTCAAGCCCCACGACCGACCAAAAAAAAAAAAAGAGTCCTTAAACTGATGGAGGCATGGCTCAGTTATGAGAGCAACAGCCAATGAGCACAGCATCAGGTACTGAGTTCAAGTTCCAGTCTTTCAACGCAACAACAAAGAGTCCTTACACCTGCAGTGGGTCTGGCCTGTGGCCTTCACTCTGCGCCAGGGGACACTGACTAGTTTTATTTTATTTTTCCATTTATTTATTTATGTAGTTTCCACAGCATGACTTGCACTTCAGCTTTTTCACTCAAGGCTACTGCTCTGCTACTTGAGCCACAGCTCCATGTCAGATTTTTGGCAGTTCATTGGCATGAAATGTCTCACGGACTTTCCTGCCTGGACTTGCTTTAAACTGTGCTCCTACATCTCAGCCTCCTGAGTAGCTAGGGTTACAGATGTCACAAACTGATGCTTGTTTACTGGTTATCCTTCAGCAGAGGAAGATGTATTAGAGATGCAAAACCCAGACTCTGGGCACCCAGAGTAGCTTCAAGGAGAAAATGAACTGAAATGTACTCTTAGAGTCTCATCATTCAATTCAGGAAATAGACACTAACAAGAGGAAGGCTTGTGAGTCCCGGTGGATTTATCCATTGGGGCACTCAGTCCTCTTCCTTTCCCAACTTGCAGGCTCCCATAGCTCTTCCTTTTTATTCAGCCTAGCAGTGTCCTGTGACAGAGTGGAAGGTGAAGAAGTGTAGAGGCAGAGCAAGTGAAGGATCTCAGTGGGGTTTAGGCTCCATTCTTTGGGGGTTACTCTGTGCTGGGCATCTTCTGAAGGTATGATGGAAATGGCTGAATGTGTCCATAAGGATCCTGCATGTTTGTCCACCTCAAACCCAGTACTTTAAACCAGGGGGACCCCTGAGGGGGAAGGAGGAATATCTCTGAGAGTCAGGGAGCTGTATCAGCAGAGAAGATGCCTTTTTCTGATTGGTCCATCCACAGCACCTTTTCTTTAGTTCTCTGGAATGAACAGACACTGCCAACTGTTGATCTCCCTCACCCCTGACCAGAACATGTTGCTTAGAAGAGTCAGCCTCTTGGCCCAATCCAAGCACCCCATCCCCTGCCTGCCTGTCCATCAACCTGCCTCCCTTTCCCTCCTTGGTCTGTTTGCTCTCAGGTTTGATGAAATCATCGGGGGCTTTGACCAGCTGCCCCAGGCCCTGCATCAGTCCCTAGTGCCCGGGACGGTGCGGCTTCACTCACCGGCAGAGACAGTGGAGATGTTCCCAGACCACGTCCAAGTCACCTACAGGACACGAGACCCTCTGCAGCCCACGGTGCAGCTGACTGCGGATTATCTGGTTGTGGCCACCACGGCCAAGGCTGCCCGGCTCCTCCGGTTCCGGCCTCCCCTGTCCCTCAGCAAGGAGGATGCGCTGCGCTCCGTCCACTACAGCAGCGCCACCAAAGTGGGCCTGGCCTGCACACAGCGCTTCTGGGAGAGAGAGGGCATCTTCCGAGGCAAGTCCACCACCGACCGGCCTTCCCGCTTCATCTACTACCACAACCAGAACTTCTCCATCCAAGGAGGGGTCCTCCTAGCCTCCTACACCCTCGACGATGACTCCCTGTTCTTCGCTGCCATGGACCATAGCCAGGTGGTAGATGTGGTCTTTGATGACCTGGCCGCCATCCACTGCCCCTCCATCCACAGCTGCTCCAGCAAGGAGCTCCGGGCCCTGTGTCCCTACTCCGTGGTGAAGAAATGGAGCCGGGACCCCTATGCCCTGGGGGGCTTTGCCACCTTTACCCCCTACCAGTATGGGGACCATGCCCAGGAGCTGAGCCGTCCTGAAGGGCGGGTCTACTTTGCTGGTGAGCACACAGCCCTGCCCCATGGCTGGATTGACACCGCCATCAAATCAGGGCTCAAGGCAGCAAAGAGCATCCAAGAGGCCGTGGACTTGGCTTCGACAGGAGACCTTGGGGTCAGGAAAGAGCCCTACCCTAAATCCGAGCTGTAGCCAGCCTATGGTACCCAGGGATAGGAATGCTTTTAATCACCTGTGTCCCCTAAGGAAAATTCCAGCTCATAATCTCATTCACCTTCAGCTTGGTCCAAAAATGTCAGACAAGCTGGTGAGCTTATAGCCCCAAAATGGAATCCCTCAAATATCTGATGTATTCTTGAGAGAAACAATAAAGCATTTGTTGAATGTATGACTATCGCCTGATGTTCCGTCTATGTTCTAGGCATCATTCAAATGAATTTAGGGTTGAGGACTGAGGGCTAGAGAAATGTTGTCTTTCCCTATCTCCTCTCCTCATCTGCCATGAGTTTTTTTTGTTATTCTTAAGCAGCTGTAAAAGAGGATTTTATTCTATGGGTCAGGTTATGAGCACAATGCAATCTTGATCAATGCCACATCTTCCATCATTTTTCCCACTCCTCCCCTCCCAGCCCTACCCCTCAGTTACATAGTTCAGTTTTTACAGAATGCACATTGAATATAACAGCTGCATTTGCTCCCCCTCCCTCCCTCCACTCCTGCGTCCCCCCTTTACCATCCCCCCCAAATCAAGTTTCCACTTCCTGATATTCATTTTGTTAAACTGTACATTAGTTGTTCAGGGAAGTTACACCCATGGACTCCCCACCCCCCAGAAGTATACCATTCTCCAGTCAGGCCCTTTGTGTCTAAATGTATAGAGCGTTGCATAAGTTCTATTTAGTTGTTTTTGTTTTTGTTTTGGTCCGGTTGTGGAGCCTGAACTCTGGGCCTGGGCACTGTCCCTCAGCGCTTCAGCTCAAGGCTAGCGCTCTACCACTTGAGCCACAGCATCACTTCCGGCTTTTTTCTTTTTGCTTATGTGGTGCTGAGGAATCGAACCCAGGGCCTCAGGCATGCAAGGCAAGCGCTCTACCACTGAGCCACCTTCCCAGCCCCTATTTAGTTATATTTTAGATCTAGCTTCCACAGATGAGGGAAAACAAGTGACATTTGTCTCTCTGAGAATGGCTTACTTCATTTAACATGATTTACTCTTAGTCCATCCATTTTTTCCACAAATCACATCATATTATTAGTTCTAATAGATGAGGAAAATTCCATTCTAAAAAAGTACCACATTTCTTGATCCACTAACTTGGCTATTGTGAATAGTGCAGCAATGAACATGGATGTACAAGTGTCTTGACCACATCCTGGCTTGTGATGATCTGGGTAGATGCCCAAAAGTGGTTTGGCAGCATCAAAGGGTGATCTATGTTTCATTTTTTTGAGGAACCTCCAAACCACCTTCTAAAGTAGTTACACAAGTTTACATGGTTACCACCTGTGCAATAGGGGTCCTTTTCCCCAGCAGCCCTGTCAACACTTCTTGTTGTTCAAATTCTTGATGTTAGCCAATCTTACTGGGGTGAGGTAGTAGTTCAGAGTTGTTTTGATCTGCATTTCCTTTATGGCCAGGGACATTGCCCATTTTCTCAAGTGTTTATTGATCATACTTCCTTCTTCTGAGAAATCCCAGTTTAGCTGCTTTACCCATTTGTTAATTGGTTTATTTATTTGAGAGACAAGTTCTTGAGCTTCTTGCACATTCTGGATATTAGGCCCCTGTTAGATGTGTAGCTGTTGGCTGACTTTTTAGCTTAGTAACTATGTCCTTTGCTGTGCAGAAGCTGTTTAGTTCAATGCAATCCATTGTTGAATCACTTCAACTTCCTGAGTCCCTGAAAATTTACTCAAAAAGGTTCTGCCTGTACCAGTAAGTTCTATTGCTTCTCCTCCCCCTTCCTGTCATAGTTTCAAGGATTCAGACCTCACATCGAGTTCTTGGATCCATTTTTAGTTGATCTACGACTGAATATTAAGTTGAAAAGGGCACACCATGTTGCCAGCAATTCACTCTATGTTGGGTTTTTTTTTTCAGGTCATTGCAACAATCCCTGATGGACATATTCCAAGTTTATTACACATGAGGAAAACTGCCAAAGAGAGTAATGGGCTTTCCTGAGCTCAAAAATACAAATCCAAAGTGGCTCAAACTTCAACATAACCCCAAATATAATTCCAAATACTCTTGCTTCTTCTAGGATCAGCTTTTCTGTCTCCTTCTCTTCTGTGTGTTCTTAGAACAATTAATGATTCATTTTGGAGATGCTCATCCATGAATGTGAAGTATTTGAATAACATAAGGTTGTATTCTGCCTTTCATACCATTTCCTCTCCCCCATGCATCTTCTTTCTTGGCAGACTTGAGAAGTTTGGAGGTAGACAGATGGAGTTGATACTTTCTAGCAGGGAGATCATAGGATGACTGGGCACAGAGATGGATAAGCGCTGGACAAGCCCAGCCTTTGGCCGTGACCTAGCCTGAATTTGGGCCCTAATTTTGACCTCATGAAGGTATGATTTCATCACTAGTAAAAAAAAAGAGGCCAATGCTGGGCGCTGGTGGCTCACACCTGTAATCCTAGCTACTCAGGAGGCTGAGATCTGAGGATCCAGGTTCAAAGCCAGCCCGGGCAGGAGAGACCTTGAGACTCCTATCTCCAATAAACCACCAGAAAACCGGAAGTGGCGCTGTAGAGCGCTCGCCTTGAGCTGAAGAGCTGAGGGACAGCGCCCAGGCCCAGAGTTCAAGCCCCACGGCCGACCAAAAAAAAAAAAAAAGAGGCTAGGGGACTATGAAGTGTGAGGACAGTTCAACACCAAGGACAAAGTCATCAGAACAAGGCTGGGTTGGGACAACACGCTACCCAGTCTGTCTCTTTACCTAGTCTGTCTCTTTAACAGACTTCTGGGTTTTATCCTATGCACTATCTAACACATGAGCCTTGGAAGTTTCCTAGATGTTGGCATAAAGCACAATACTGATGGATCAGAGGAAAAGAACTTACTACCCAGGGCACAATCAGAAGCAGGAATATTCCATGTCCTCCAAGCCTCACTGTGCTGTGCTGAGTTCAAAGAATGGATTCATTTGAGAGGAAGCAGTGTGCTCTTTGTTTGGGACTCAGGTTGCTCATGAGAAACAGCCTTAACAAAGAGCACTTGGGAGGCCTTTCCATTCAGAACATTCCAGAAAGGGGGTAAGGTGCTCAGATTACCTGGCAAGTGGTTTCTCCCAGCACAGAGCCACCTGAGGGGGTGTGACTGTGTTCCTACAGAGTGCCTCAAAAAGCACCTGCAGTCCCAGCTCACCAGGTCCCCAGCAGGCCCCTGGCACCCCCAAACACAGTCCCTGCCCTGCCTCATACCGTGCACAATGTCCACATGCACTAAACAATCTTTCCAATGGCAGCTCTGAAATCTTGGGCTGAAACCTAAATCCTTCCCTCAGACAACTTGGAGATAAGCTGAGGAACCATGCTATAGCACTGACTGAGCATGAGAAGAGACAGCCCCAGCGTGTGTCTGCAATGAAACACGAAGAACATGAAATCCAGGAAGTGGGTGTCTTCCTGGATAATATCTGTAAGCCGTTAATGGCACCTAAGATGCAGGGAGTGGTGACTTACAGAGTAATAATAGCTACGGATTCACTGGAAGTTGCAAAGAGGCCCCATATACTCCCCCCAATCCATTTCCCCCAGTTTGTACATTTTGCCTAATTAAAACAGGTACTTAGAAGTTGTTATTACTGGGCTAGGAAGGTGGCTCAGTGGTAGAGTGCTTGCCTTGCATGCCTGAGGCCCTGGGTTCGATTCCTCAGCACCACATAAGCAAAGAGGAAAAAGCCGGAAGTGGCACTGTGGCTCAAGTGGTAGAGCGCTAGTCTTGAGCTGAAGAGCTGAGGGACAGTGCCCAGGCCTAGAGTTCAGGCCCCACGACTGGACCCCCCCCCAGGAAAAAACAAACAAACAAAAGTTGTTATTACTTAAAAACACTGACTTCTCACTCAGCAGGATAAAAGCCGGGCATCTCTCTAACTTGTAACCACCCAGGACTTCAATAACACAAGAGCCTGCAGACAGACTTCCCCATGATAACATCCTTGAAGCAGAAGGAATCACTTCTTTTCTCCTTAGCAATAAGAACTTGTGGGGACAACTTCCAGAGCTAGACGTGAGATAATGGTCAACCTGCCCACACTTGGACCAAGACTGCTGAACAAAGCATACCACTCACCTCCTGCCTCCATTCTTCTATTTAACCCCAAGGCTGAAATGCTGAGTTTCTATCTTTCCAAAATGGCCATTTTGATGAAAATCCTGCCATCACCATTATTTCATTCGCTTTGGATTCCCCTGCCTTGTGGGAACACTCAGTTTGACTTCTGGCCTAGGACACAGTTACATACTTATAGGATAAAACTAAACTTGGAAGTTTGACATTAGTACAATGTTTTGGGGTATAATTCTTTGTTATTGAGGCTGGGAAGGTGGCTCAGTGGTAGAACGCTTGCCTTGCATGCCTGAGGCCCTGGGTTCAATTCCTCAGCACCACATAAGCAGAAAAAAGCTGGAAGTGGCGCTGTGGCTCAAGTGGTAGAGTGCTAGCCTTGAGCTGAAGAGCTGAAGGACAGCGCCCAGGCCCAGAGTTCGGGTCAGGCCCCATGACCAGACCCCCCCAAAAAATTCTTTGTTATTTTATCACATGCATAGATTCCATTCTTGTTACCCACATTCCAGTCAAGGTACAATTTATCAACCCAAAATCTCTCTCTCTCTCTCTCTCTCTCTCTCTCACACACACACACACACACACACACACACACACACACACACACACACACACACACACCCTGAGCATTCCCAGCCCCTGGCAACCACTACTCTGTTTACCATTACTATAATTTTGTCATTTCTAGAATGTTCTGTAGGTGGAATTGTAATGACCTTTTCAAATTAGCATTTTTACTCAGGGCGAAGTCAATAGTTTTGCT